GATACCGCCCGCATCGTCCGCCAATTTCTTTCCTTTTCCCCATAAACCTCGGCTATTTGGTCTCCCCTGCCGTAGGCTTCCATCTGGTTGGGTTTAATTCATTTTTGTAATTTTGATGTATATATTTTACTATATTTTATGTACTTATTCAGCCCAACCAGATAAGAAAAATACATTTATACCCAAATATAATAGTAACAAAATAATGAAGGTTTTGTTAAAAAAAAAGTCGGCACTTCTGTTATTACATTTTATATAATAATTAGTCATCATCATCATCATCATCATTACAGCCCTTCACAAGTCTACTGCTGAACATAGGCCTCCCCCAAGGAATGCCACAAAGCACGGTCCTGAGCCACCTGCATCCATCAACTTCCTGCATATCTTACCAGGCCGTCACTCCATCTAGTGGGGGGACGCCCAACACTTCACCTGATGGTACGAGGCTGCCACTCGAGAAACTTTCTTCCCCATCAGTTGTCGGTTCTTCGAGCTATATGGCCGGCCCATTGCCACTTCGGCTTACTAATCCGTTGGGTTATGTCGGTCACTCTGGTTCTACTGCGGATATCCTCATTTCTGAGTTTATCACGCAGAGAAACTCCGAGCATAGCCCTCTCCATAGCTCGCTGAGCGACCTTGAGCTTCCTCATCCGGCCATCAGTGAAGGACCACGTCTCAGTTCCGTATGTCATCACTGGCAACACGCACTGGTTGTACAGTCTCGTTTTCAAGTTTTGATGTATACCTGACGAGAAGATGTGCCGTAATTTCCCGAACGCTGCCCAATCTGTGAAGAGTTTCGGGGATATTATGTCACCCTGTCTTACACCTCTCTGCAGTTGGATAGGTTTTACAGTCTGGTTCTGTACTCGGATAGCCATCGTAGCCCTACTGTACCAACACTTCAGCACTTCGATATACTGACAATCTACTTGGCATCGCTGGAGGAACTGCAGCAGCGCCCAAATTTCGACGACGGAATCAAAGGCTTTCTCATAGTCCACATACGCAAGACAAAGTGGCAGATTGTATTCTTCTGTCTTCTGTACAATTTGCTGAAGGGTGTGTATGCGGTCTATGGTGCTAAAGCCTTTTTGGAAACCGATTTGTTCGGGAGACTGGAAGTCGTCGAGTCTGCCTGCGAGACGATTCGTAATGACTCTCGAAAACAGCACGTAGACGCGGCTTAGAAGGAAAATCGGTCTGTAGTTCTTTAAGAGGGCGTTGTTACTTTTCTTGAAGAATAAGACCACCAAACTTCTGCTCCACGCCTCCGGTGTAGTGCCACCATGGAGAACGGAATTAAAGAGCTTCTGAAGGATTTTAAGTAACGGTTATACACCCGCTTTTTTGTGTTCTTCTGCGGCGGGTCTTGCAAAAATTAGCTCCGACCGCATGGACATTTTCCACGAGCTTGTTATTTATATCGTCCACTACATTGCAATCTTCTAGGCACTGAAAACGAATTTGTAATTCGAGCTGAAAGGTTTCGGGACTTTGGATTAGAGCACGAGGGGAACGGAGCGTTGACTTTTTTTAGACGCGACTACTCCAATTTAACGTTTAGGTTCAGTGTGCCTCTAACCTCGCGATCTCTGCGACATCACTGAACAGTTGTCGTCTGGTCGTCATAATGAAGTCAATCTCATTTTTGTCGAACTGGCGGGGCTCGACCAGGTCCACTTCCTGTGGGGGCCGCTTCTGGAAGAAAGATTTTATCATAAAGAGTCCCTCTTTCGCCATGAAGTCAGCCAGCTGCTGGCCTCTTGGTTTCCGTTGCCCTATTCCGAATTCCCCTACTTTCAGCTTACCGTTTTCTCTTGTGCCTAGTTTTGCGTTGAAGTCTCCCATTAACACCGTATAGTGGGTTTTGGAGGAATGCATGGCTGTAGAGATATCATCATACTTTTCCTTCACCTCGTCATCGGGATGTGCCGAGGTTGGTGCGGTGGTTGGTAGCCAGGAATAGCGGGGCCGCCGGGGACTAGGGGCCATTTATTAATGTCATTGCTCATGGGAGGTATATTGCCATAGTTGCCACGCTTGGCGAGCGGGTTGGCAACTGCAGTTTTTTATTGTTTTTTGCTGTTATCAGAAAGATGCTGCTGCCTATCTTCTGCATCAGTTTCCCTATGTCGCCTTTTACGACACCCACGGGCAGATATGGGGTAGTGAGTATTCTTACCCGCCACTACACGGGGGAAATTTCAACAAGAACTACTGTCAAAAGGGATAACTTTATTTAATTTATTCTAACCCCGAAATGAAGAAATAGACAAATTTTTTCGCATCACTTTGATACAAATAGTATCTTTTGTTATTTTCGCTTTTGTTGATATCACTATCCTCACTCAACTCTATTGTGCTCTAGGACACTTCCGCTGCGTAGCTTTACATGAAGAAATCTTTTGAAACTAACAGGTAACATATAACATACGATTTAAAAAGAATGACTGAAAATTTACTTCAATAATAAGTTTATCAATACACCAAATATGTAGAAGAACCAAGGTCTAACATCAGTGACATAAACGTTCATAAGTTTTGTGATATTACGTCATTCAACTTAAATACTGTATACATATTAATATGACGCCGGGATCAATAACTTGTATAGTATACTTTACCAGGCCGTGGCTAGCACGATACTAGCATAATAAATAAAGGCGTTAAAATATATTCAACTGATGTCAGAGACCAAATCAACAATTTAACAAAATGTTGGGCAAAATTTAAGCAATAAATTTACATATGTATTTTCGTCAAGCTTAAAATTTAAATCAGAAAATAAATATTTACTTTGGGTATGCTTAGCCCGTATAATATGTCCCACTGGGTACAGGCCTCATTTCTGAGAGGGTATGAAGCAATTAGTCCGTCGCGTTGCTCCAGTGCTTGTTGGCAAACTTCAAATGTCCTCGAAATATTTTACTTCTCAGACATGCACGCATTAAGGCTGGCGCGTCCCAGAGCTACGACGGCTCTCCCGAGCCACCACGACTGTACATTAATATCCTACGTTATTTACAACATTAGGGGGTAAATATTAAAGTTAAAGGGTCTAAATATATTTCACATTATTTGAAGATATAAAAATAATCCGGGTTATTATTATTTTTTAAATATTTTATAATCACATGTTCATCACAAAACAAAAACTATAATTTTGTTTAAAATTTAAGAGCCGGCTTGGAAGATTTTACCCTTAAATATATAGAATGTCAGCGCGGCGGACATTTCCTTGCCCTTTAAAACCTCTCAGAAATGAGAGGAGGCCTGTGCCCAACAGTGGGACGTATATAGACTTTAACTTTTAAATACAATGTTATACTTTCAACAAGAACTACTGCTGCTAAATTATAGTTGTAATATGGATAGTGGTTGCAACACGAGTAGGTTTGATCGTAACAACGCTTGCGCAGAATACCAGTGCAAAATATCAGCTTAATGTTATTGTTTATCGTATGTTGAGTGCAGAGAACTGGATACCAATTTAACTGGCAATGAAGCCATATTAGTCATTGGAGGGAAAACGCATATGCATTTTTTCTCTTTTTGCAGCAATCTCTGACAAAACCCTGACCCAGCTCATACTGACCAAGTCTCACTTCTTTATATTAATTTAAATAAAAGCAGCGTCTGTGATTAAAATACTTTACTTGTCATACGCCATATTTTTCAATACAATATGGAGTATATTTTTTCAACGTCTTTTCTAAAATATATCTCACTTTTAAGAAACGCTGCTAACTGATTTGGACTTAAAATGTGCTTATTTATACTAAAATATCTAATTGAGATTGGAGTAAACGAAACCAATAATAAATACAATAATAAAAAAAATTCACTTCACTAGAACCTATTAAATTTTAAAGCGATCCGCAATCCACATATACGTAAGCAAAACGACTGTCCATAAGCACGCTGTGGGTAATCATAACTCACGTTGAGAAAAAGCGGAAGGGATTTATTTAATACCGCGTAAATTCTCGTCGGGACAAAAGATCCATTTGTTAGCAAGAGGATTTCCCTTAAGAAATATGTAAAGTCAAATAAATATAAAAATAACAATGAAAATAATTTCTAATGTAATGTATTCGTGTAAACACGATATTTATTGTTCACTCATCAAAGTTTAGCATTTAAGGTCTTTTCATGTTTAGCGATTTAATTAAAATAAATGTATTACGAGTATCAAGCAAACAGTTTATACTAAACGCAATGTATTATAATATTCCTGTTTATTTTTTATAAATATTTTATATGTTACATTTAATGGTTTATAGTTCTTTATTTTCAAACAGTTATTTTCACAGAACTTCTACAGTACCAATATACAGTATGTTACAAAAACCCCGTTGGTCGTTTCAGGGACATATACGAGTAGGTGTACGTATAGGCATGGCAATTATATTGAATTTTTTTTTGGTTGCCATAAATGGCATTTTAGTGTTTCTAATCAGATAAATTATTAAATTTGATATTTCTAAAAATGTTATTTGCTTCTGAACTTGCCATGCGCATGCCTAAATATTATTATCTACGGCCGCTGTTAGGTCACTGACACTACCGCCACAAAGAAAACCGCTGCGCGGCGCGAGCACAGAGTAAAGAGTAAGGGACCAGAGGGGAAGCTTCTTAACAACGTCGAAAATGTATACCTATTCTGATACGGTTGTCACGTGATGCATGTGAAAAATTTGAATTTAATGATTCTTATATTCAGATTTCATTAAATAACTACATGTAGTGTTTATGAAATATGAATTACAAAATGAAAACTTGGAGATTTGTGTAGTTTTTGGAGGCGGTGGTTTTGGTGTAAGTGGTGGTGGTGGTGGTAGTAATGGTTGTGATGGTGGTCGTGGGCAGTAGCGGTGGTGATGGAGATAGTAATGGTGGTGATGGTGGTGGTGTTGATGGACCACTGTTGGTCCGCTGCCTACTACCACTACCTACGATACTACCACCTCCACCTCCACTGACACCATCAGCAACACTGTCCACCACCACCAGCACTACTTTCACCAACACCAATCCCACCACCCCGAACAATGTCTGGCAATTGTATTCTAACCATAATGCAGTGCTATTTACCCCTGGGATCGCGACTTGCAAAAAGTAGCTTATATCCTTCCCAAGGAAGCAACCTACCTCTATACTAAAGTGGGTGGATAAAGTCATACATTTAGCCTTATTACGTAAGATATCCCGCCATCTACGGCAATGTCAAGGTTAGACTGACTAACGTTTCAATTAAGTGAGACCGACTTCATCACTCGGTGACGTACCTGTCTAACACATTCTCACTTTCCTATCAATGTTATTATCTAGTTTTATTGTACATAATACGTAAAAAGGTACTTCACTTGATCTCTCGGGTACAAAAAAAGGAAATATCCTTATTTTCTCTAGAATTATTCATGCATACTGTACAACCTTATACAGAACACTTATTATTTACCTATATAAATTTATAATAACTAAATTCTTAATTATTTTAATTAAAATACTTAAATCTAATTATTTAATATTTGCAAAAAACTTAATAAATTAATTGATGTATAAATTTTCGAAATATTGTTGGTCTATTTATTTAAATGCGCACGACTAACAGCCCTTTCATGGATACTCTGACTGAGCCGGCGCAAACCGGTTTGTACCCCGACGGAGCGTCGGTGAACCTGTCGGTGAGAGTTCACGCACACGTCGCTGCGCTATGTATGGGTGTATTCGCAACGAGCTGTTTGTATGTAGCTTCCCCTCTGGTCGGTTTCTTTACTCGTGTGGCGCGAGCTTCCTTAATACCGTTAAATAAATCGTTATACCTATTTAGACACAGTTATCCTCCGAAAATTTTAAATTAATAATCATAGAAATTATAATGAAATATATTTTTTTAATAATGTGCTGGCAGCTTATAAATATTCCATTTCCGTTCTTGAACACCTAATAATATATGATATGTTAATTATTTATTTTATATTTTATAATATCTCAAAAATATCATTTTACGAAGTCACTTAATGAGAACAATTCTTAGACCAGCTAAGTATATGACGATGTTTTAACGAGATCTAACACTTTTTGTTACGTTCAAATTACGTTCATTACAATCTATGAAATTCAACTACTGAACATAGGCCTCCCCACAGATAATCTCATAAGGGGGGTATTTGCCACACTTTCCACTTTTGGCAGGCTGGTTGGCCACCGCATTTTTTTACTTTGGATCTAGTTGTTGTTAAGAAGATGCTGTGAAGTTCCACACCTACGGGACGATTTGGGCTAGTGGATATTCTTTCAACGCCAATACAGATTGTTATTTGAATTACTTATGTCATAAATTTTCACTTTACTACTAAATAGATCTGGAAAAAATATTTAAAAAAGGTTATTTCAAGCATAAAATATCCTAATTAATTCCAAATTTGCAACTATTTGCAGGAGAAATTTAATATATATTTTTCATGTGAAATTTTATTCGATAAAGAATATGTAACATAAATTATTTTTTTTAAATATATTCATATTACAAGAATGTAATAAACAAAACACAATTTCCATAAAATAGGCGGTATTTCGCGCGCTATGCGCGCGCTCCTCAAACTCAAACCCGTTAGTCGACGAAGGACTTAGGTATAGGAAAAAACCCAAAAACCCCGTTCGAGTGATCAAAGGTAGCGTCCCCTATATGCCAAATAACTTATTTTGATCTACCTATTAAATAATATCTATTATTTATTCTGTGCTAATATTTAGTAATAATATTTAAAAGCATGGTAAGTTTAATAAACATAAAATTTTGTCAGAATTCAGCAGTCAAGAATAAAAATAAAAATAAGGATTGTTTATCGACAGTCGATAAAAAAATGTTAAATAGTAGATTTTGAAAAACACAGCAGCATAACAGTTTAAGTATATGTTATTATGTGGATTTATCCCACAATTTTTTTTAAATTTTTCTAGTCATTGTAGTGTTTTAATGTATTTTTACTAATCTTAGCAATAATTTAATTTACTAATAACACTTACGGGCTCTGCCTAAAGTAAATGAATAAGTAATAACTATTATTAAAAAATTACGTCAAAATCACCACAAATTTCGTCGATTCAGAAAATATCAAAATTATGTTGTAGAGTATATTAGTCGCTTTGTCACGCCCACGCACAACAAATTAAAGCACCAGTAGTGCGCGCGCGCTGATGTTGATACCTGTTATCGCCCGCGTAAATTACTTCCGGACTGATCTGCTTTTTATATTGCAAAATTGAATATCTGCCGTGAGTGACTTGTTTGCGATGTCATACTCATACGATTATTATATGTATAGACGAATATTTTAATATGTTGACGTGTCTCGGGAAATGTAACTGCATTTATGCAGAAGCACGAAGACTTTACGAGGAATGCTTTACTACTCTATGACATATGCAATTGCCGTCGGCGATGAAGTTCCAACGACTTCACATTCGTATATACAATACTGGCAGTGAGCATGGCCATGATCAACAACCGCGTACAGATTCAGGAAGACCGAGAATGATTGACGACGACATCGAGGAGCACATTCTCGATATGTTTGGGGAAGATCCGACGCGAAGTACGCGCTCGGTGGCACATGAACTAGGTGTGAAGCATGTGCGTGTTTGGAGAGCCCTCAAAGATGATTGCCAGCACCCATATTATTATCGTCGAGTTCAGTATCTTCTTCCCAACGACTACGAACCGAGAATGGATTACTGTAGAGTTTATTTTGATGAGGTTGAAGGAGATTTAAACAGAGTTAAACGGTGGTAGAGCCACGCAGCAGTTTTTGCTGTTGCATGTATGGGCCGGCTCGAGCCGGGTTGGTACCACGACCTCACAGAATACCGGCGTGAAGTAGTAGCTTTGCTTCTGCGTTTCGTCTGGTGAGTGCAGGTGGCCGGAGGCCCAATTCCCCCCCCCCCCCCCCCCCCCCATCAACATGGTAGCGGAATTACACGAAGAACTACCCCAGGAGGGTACCAGCACCCCTGGAGAATCCCTCGCTGAGCATCCACGACCATGTTATTCCGATCCTGAGCGTGGGTGCTCAGGCTGCCCCGCGTATTCTGGGGGGGGGGCAAAATTCCGCTCAAAAGCATTACTGCTAGGGGCAAACTGAACAAGAACACCAAGGCGACCCCTGCCACGCTATCCGTGAATTTCTGCAACATCAGGGGACTTCACTCTAACCTAAACGCCGTCCACTACCATCTCGAGACGGCGAAGCCGGCCTTGCTCTTTTTGACCGAGACGCAGGTTTCCTCTCCGGCTGATATTTCGTATCTCTCCTACCAGGGGTACAAATTGGAGCATTCCTTTGTGCCTCGGGCTGGAGTTTGCGTGTATGTCAGAGAGGACATCTGTTCTCGACGCTTCGGCAGTCTTGAAGGTTCGGACCTGTCCATCCTTTGGCTACGCGTAGACAGCGACGACCATCCGCGCGTCTACGGGTGCCTCTATAGGTCCCATAGCGGTAATGCCGAAACAGACCGACTCATCGACCACGTCAAAATGGCTACAGATTTCTTGCTACAACAGGTCCCATCCGCAGAGATCGTGATCCTTGGCGATTTTAACGCCCACCATGCTGAATGGCTCGGTTCACGTTTAACCGATCATGCGGGGAGATCTGTTTATGACTTTGCCTTGGCATATGGTCTGACACAACTAGTTACTTCGCCTACGCGGATTCCAGATGTGGAGGATCATACACCTTCCCTGTTGGACCTTCTGCTGACCTCTCATCCGGACGGATATCTGGTTTCCGTCGATGCCCCTCTCGGCTCTTCGGACCATTGTCTGATCCGGAGTGTGGTGCCACTCACGCTCCCTTCGCGGTTGCGTTCTGCAGGTTGCCGCCGTGTTTGGCATTACAGGTCGGCGGATTGGGACGGAATGCGGTCCTTCTTTGCATCCTACCCATGGGGGCGGGTTTGCTTCTCGCCGGATGATCCCAGCGCTGTTGCTGACTCTGTCACTGATGTGGTGCTACAGGGAATGGAACTATTTATTCCATCATCTGTGGTACCCATCGGAGGCAGATCTCAGCCTTGGTTTGGTCGCTCCTGTAAGACTGCATTACGCAGTAAGCAGGAGTGTTATCAAGCCTGGGCTGCGGCTTCGGCGACTCGGGATGTAAATACCAGCACACTTAAAAAGAAGTATAACTTCGCCTCCAGGTCCTTCAAAAGAGTTATTGCCAAGGCAAAGTCAGAGCACATAAGCAGAATTGGCGAGAAACTAGTTCGCCTTCCTTCGGAAACTCGTGCATTCTGGTCTCTCGCCAAGGCTGTCCAAGGGAATTTCTGTAAGCCATCACTACCATCTCTGCACAGGGAGGATGACTCACTGGCCCATGACGCAAAAGACAAAGCCGACCTTTTAGGCTCCCTTTTTGCGTCCAACTCGACTCTTGATGACGGGGGGAAAACACCGCCGACCATCCCGCGGTGTGAGTGCTCCATGCCGGATGTGCTGTTCTCACAGCGCTCGGTTCGCAAAGCACTGCTCTCCCTGGACATCCAGAAGTCGAGTGGGCCTGACGGAATCCCCCCAATTGTGCTGAGGACGTGTGCTCCGGAGTTGGCACCGGTTCTAACGCGTCTTTTCCGGTACTCCTACTCCCAAGGCGTAGTCCCGAATTCATGGAAGACAGCTTTTGTCCACCCGATCCCTAAAAAAGGCGACAGCTCAGACCCATCCAACTATAGGCCTATCGCGATCACCTCCTTGTTCTCCAAAATAATGGAATCCATTATTAACTGCCAGCTCATCCGGTACCTTGAGGATCACCAGCTGATTAGTGACCGCCAATACGGTTTTCGTCGGGGTCGATCAGCTGGTGATCTTCTGGTCTACCTGACCCATAGATGGGCGGAGGCAGTAGAGTCCAAGGGGGAGGCGTTGGCCGTTAGTCTGGACATTGCGAAGGCCTTCGATCGGGTTTGGCACAAAGCGCTTCTTTCGAAGCTCCCTTCCTATGGGCTTCCCGAGAAATTGTGCAATTGGATCACCAGCTTCCTTGTAGATTGGAGCATCAAGGTCGTTGTAGACGGTGCACGCTGGTGTTCCACAAGGCTGTGTGCTATCACCAACGCTGTTTCTTCTGCATATCAATGATATGTTGCTAACTGGTAACATTCATTGCTATGCGGATGACAGCACTGGTGATGCTCTATACACCGGCCGTGCCAATATTTCTCGGGAAAACGTCGCTGAGTACCGGAACAAACTTGTGTCTGAAGTCGAGTCTTTGCTGAACAAAGTCTCGGATTGGGGGCGACTAAATCTAGTCCAATTTAATCCTCAGAAGACACAAGTTTGCGCGTTTACCGCTAAAAAGAACCCCTTTGTCGTATCTCCTCAGTTTCAAGGCACTCCCCTTCTTGCCTCAGCCAGTATCGGTATCCTCGGAGTCGACATATCGAGTGACGTGCAGTTTCGTGGTCACTTGGAAGGGAAGGCCAAATTGGCCTCTAAAAAGCTTGGCGTGCTCAGCAGAGCGGGACAGTATTTCATGCCGGCACACCGCCTGCTACTTTACAAGGCGCAAGTTCGGCCTCACATGGAATACTGTTCCCATCTCTGGGCAGGGGCTCCCCAGTGCCAGCTCCTTCCACTTGACCGCATCCAACGCAGAGCGGCTCGAATTGTCGACGACCGAGCCCTTTCCGATCGGCTCGATTCATTGGCACTGCGAAGAGATGTTGCATCCTTTTGCATTTTCTTTCGCATCTACCATGGGGAGTGCTCTGAGGAATTGTTCGGATTAATCCCAGCCGCCAAATTTCACGAACGCACATCGCGGCAGAACTCCCGATACCATCCACACCATCTGGATGATTGGCGGTCCACCACTGTGCGATTTAGAGGATGTTTTCTTCCTCGCACGACCTCCTTGTGGAATCGATTGCCATCAGCGATTTTTCCGGACCGATACGACTTGGGGACCTTCAAGAAAAGAGCGTACTCCTTTTTAAAAGGTCGGCAACGCATCTGCGATTCCCCTGGTGTTGCAGTTGTTCATGGGCGGCGGTAGTTACTTACCATCAGGTGAGCCGCATGCTCGTTTGCCCCCTCTCCTATAAAAAAAAAAAAAAAAAAAAGATCCTGAGTTTTTGAACCGCGTACTTTTCACGGATGAATGCTCTTTTGTTAGAATAGGTGTATTTAACGCTCATAATGAACACGTATGGTCAGCCACTATTACGCATTCTTATAAACCAAGTAACTTTCAACACCGATGGATAACCAATGTTTGGGCGGGAATTATAGTTGACAAAATTATTGGTCCGTATTTTCTTGACCACACAACGAGCAGTGAAACTACGGACGCTTTTTGCGAGAAAACTAAGCAATGAACTGGACGAAATAAATCTAGACCTTGTTCGTAGCATGTGGTTTCAATACGATGGCGCACCGCCGCATTTCTCCCGTTGTGTAAGAAATTTTGTGGATACTGAATACATTTGACCGGTCAACTGGCCGGCGCGATCACCTGATCTCACACCTTTAGATTTTTATCTCTGGGGTACATTTAAGCAACCTGTATTCCAAAAAAACATGCGATACCGAGGCGAAAATGCGTATACGAATAGACTCATCGTTTGAAATTGTAAAGTCCGAAATATCTGTTATGCAACGCGTGCGTTCATACATTATAAGCCGGTGTCGCAAATGCATAGAGGTACAAGGCGGGCTTATTGAGCAACATCTTCGTGGTCGTCAAGTAGACATAGTGTTTGTGTATAATTACCACAATCGGTCGAAATGCAATTTTAAAAGTTGTGATAATCGACCACTAAATTGATAACAACTGAGTGATATGCCAAGGTCACGACCTTAGTGCGGTTAGTGTATGTAAGACGCGCGCGCCCCGTCTTTGATATACGCCGCCGCCGGCCGCCGCTGCTTGATGTTTCGCTTGCTTGATAATTCCAGGCAGAGGTAATCAATCCACATAAAATTTACAAATATTATTTAATTAAAACTTAAGAGTTTTCTGAAGTAAAGTTATTTCTATACGTTTGAATACTCATTCTAATAACGCACTTAACGGGAACCACAAGGTTTTTGTTACATATTGTATATTTCTTTTTGATATATCATATTTTCATTTTTAGTTATAAATAGGGGCTGAAGAAAAAACTAAATATTTTATTTACAAAGTTGTGTCGTAGTTTTATTTTGTGAGAAAATGAGTTTCATTTTGTGCGGAGTTTGCTGATGCGTCCCGTGGGTGTCGTAAGAGACGACAGAGGGAACCAAACCAGGAGATAGGCAGCAACTTTTTTCTAATAACAACTAAAATGAACTGAATTTTGCGAACCTGCATGCCAAGCGTGATAACTATGGCAAATACTCCCTCTATATGAGGTAACCTTATGAGGTAATCTATGGGGAAGGTCTATCCTACAGAAGAATTTAGTGTCGTGCGTTTGTTTGTTTGTTTTGGTAATAGTTTCCGAATATTGGTGCGAATTATTGACTGCACGATGAAATCGTAAATATTAAGCGGGGCATGCCCCGTGGTATTGTGAAAGATATAGTACTCAACTGTTTGCGCGTGTGGCGCCCGCTTGAGTTATATGGGAAACACACCCCCTATACCTAACGCTTTCCACCGAGGTCTTAAGGTATACTATAAGAGTACATTTGCCAAGCACGCCTAATGCCCCCCCCCCCCCCGCGCCACTAAACACGCTATACTGAGGGCGACCCATACGCTAAGCCACACTTGTACATAAAATCACAGTATCAGTTGTATTTTTGTTACGCCTCATATTATCTAGACCTTCATGTGTGCAAAGCTAATATAAAGTTTTCGCCCACTTCCAGACGTCTGATTTATTAAAAATTTTGCAGATTAAAGAATTGATAACGATACAATAATTTCATCTACTATTCATATTAGAATAAAAGCGTGTTCATCAAATATATTTAAACAATAAATTACTATTATGTTATAATACTGGAGAAAGGCTGTCAGAGATCTAGATCCAAAAACT